TGACAAAAAATAACAGATTCTACCATCACAGAAAATATCATGGTAGAACATATGTGACTTTTTTTTATTTTATTTTAGGGAAGGGTCTACAGGGTGTTCAGGGTCTCACTATTAGATCGGACTTGTTGTAATCCGCCTGTTTACAGCCTCCTAAGAGCTGGGATTACAGGCCAGCGCCACCACACCCAGTCTCAAATGCAGTTTAGTATGTGACTTTTTTTTTTTTATTTACATGTATTTAGTGTGTGTGTGTGCGCGCGCGTGTGTGTGTGTGTGTGTGTGTGGCCAGCTCAGCTCACCTGGAGGCGGGGCTGGCTGGCATGTGGTGCTGGGGGATTGAACCGTGGTCCCTGTGCTTTGCCAAGCTTATTCCTAGTAGGTGCTTTAGACCACTGAGCCATCTCTCCAGCCCAACTTTTTTTTTTTCATGGTAGAACTTAAAGAGGAAATTCATTTATAAACATTAACCTAACTCCTTCCACAGAGACAATAAGGATATATTGCATGATCACATCGCTGTCATCTAAAGTTACAAATGCTTTCAGAGTTTGTAGTGTTTTGTTTTGTTGTGCCTAATGAAGATACTCATAAAACCATAAAATCATACTGTGGTAAACGTAGCTCGATTTAGGGCAATTAAAAATCAGCTGTGTGAGCCGCACGGAGTAGTACATGCCTATTATCCCAGCACTTTTTGGGGGTGGAACAGGAGGGTCACAAATCTGAGTCAAGCCCAGTCAACGTAGCAAGATCTTGTGTTAAAAAATTTAAACAAAGGGCTGGAGATATATGTCAGAGTGAAAGTCCTGGGAATAACCCCCAGGACTTCGGTAGTGGTGGTGGTGGTAGCATGTGCCTGTGTGTAAATGTGTATTTTAATTTGCCATATTTAAAGATACAGAGAAAAGGATCCTGAGTATGTCATGTAACCAACAGAAACTGTGAGGCAAATGAGCACTATTGTAAGCTACATTTGTGCTAGTTTATTCCATGGAAAATAGGAAACTAACAAAATACCTGAAGTTGACTTAGACAACTGAAAAGAAATGCCTAACTCCAAGAGTGGGAGAGAGGCCAGTGCAAGAAAGGAAAAGTAATCATAGTATCCACTGGTTTTCTATGAGGCCCGTGAGCACCTGGCACTACTGTCGTGGGGGGTCTATGCTCCCGCTACTCAAGCTGGTCCAGCCGAGCAACTGACTCACGCCAAGTGAAAGCGAAAGTGACTCTGAGTAGTGTCCAGGTCAGGCCAGTAGTCCTGCTCTGAGGAACACTCGCTATGGAACCCACTTTACCAGGGAATTCTGCGTTGGGTTTTCAGGCAAAGCACAAATTTTCCATTTACTATTTATAGATTTTCCATGTGCTATTGTTTCTTGTCAATATACAACCCTTAGGGGCTTCAGGGAGAAGAGGGATGGCTGTAATGAAGCAGAATTGAGCTATTCCTGGCTTCTCGAGCCACAAAACCATCACACTACACCATTAACCTCTGACATGAAGTTGCGAAAATAGCCGCGTCAGTAGCAGCCATTATAATCTAGGAAGGCAGGATATTTAAAAATTTAAAGATAAGGAGAATTGTCAGTTGCAGGTTGAGAACATGTCTTTTGCTCTATTTTACACCCTGGAAAGTTCTATTAATTTCATTTATTGTAAAACCCTATTAAGTGGTCTGCCTAACTGTGTAATCCTTACATTTCTAGTCCAACAAACTTCAGAGATAACATTTGATTGACTAAAGAAAGCTCTTGAAAATACTTCAGGACAATCTTATGAACTTTCAAGGGACTGTGAGGTAAGAAGACAGCAACTCACAATCCTTAAAGTTATGATAAAACATGCACTTATCTAGCATAAGGCAGAATAGGGTCAATCCTATCAGAAAGACAAAGCAGGACAGACTCATTGGGAGAACAAGCAGGAGCAACAGAAAGGATCCACAACCCCTCCAAGCCCAGGGTTTCCAGTTTCTTTGGCCCCCATCTGCTCCAAGTCCTAGCGCTTACCTTCACCTGAAATTATTCCTTCTTTCAAATCTTAAATTTTAGAATGCTTTTTTTTTTAGATTAAGTTTTGTTCTTGATTAGGGAGAACTCATACCTCCTCCCATCCCGCCCAGTCAGTCTGCAGAAGTCTCTCCTGGAGTGGCTACTCCAGTTCGTGGGACTGATGAACTCCCTCTACGCCATTCTACCCCACCTTCATTTGGGAGGAAGGCGGAATAAGCAACATCTGGACCGCAGGCCCCCAGCAATTCATCAGAAGCCCTGAATTCAGTGGTTAGTGGATTCTGCTCAGTTGTCTCTGACTCCTCATGTTTTACTCTCAAAAACGGGCTGGAGAAGGGGAAGATGAATGAGTTATCCCTCAGTCCAAATCAAGAGATGAAAAGCTCTGTGGTCCAAAATGTGCCATAAGCTGTCAATTCTGGGTCAGTTAATTTGTTCTTTATTCACATTTAAAGAATATTCTATTAATGCAGAAACAGGGCATTATTAAAACAGTCTTTGGTACACAACACTTATACGCAGTCATCTCTATAGGTTCCAGCTGATTTTCAATACTCTTTCCACAGAAGCTGTTTAAATCTTCCTGAATGTTCACTCATAAAGATAATCTTGCCTTTGATTTCAGAGAAAATGGTAGTGTGGGGGTTTGGTGCACCAACTGCGCACCAACTCCCTGCCTTACATGGCTCCTACACTCTTCTGTTTATGCAGCTGGGGTTTTTTTTGGTGGTGGAGCTGTACTGAAGACTGAACCCAGAGCCACAGGCCTTTTTAATTTGAGACATAGTTCACTAACTTGCTAAACTGCCCAGAGTGAGTTTGAACTTCAGATCCCCTAAGTGCACCTCCCAGAGTGCTGGAATTGCAAGTGTGCACCAACACCTGGATAATTACGTACCAATCAGGCTCCATAAATTATTCCCTCTCCTGAATCTTCTACTCTTGGTTCTAGCAGTCCTTTTTCCCTTGACACTCAAAATCCATTTTTTTTTTCTTTTTAAATGTATTTAGGACAGGGTCCATAGAGTCTCACTACATGGGCTGAACTCATAGTGAGCCTCCTGTTTTCAGCCTCCCAAGCACTGTGATTGCAGGCGTGTGCCATCACACCCAGTCTCAATTGCTGTCTCAGTGCACCCCAGGGGCAGGGCTGGCACGGCAGGCCCAGGGATCAAATTCGCAGCCCTTGCATCTGCCTAAGCAGGTGCTTTAATCCCCTGAGCTATCTGGCTGGCCCCTCAAAACCCATTTTTAAAGCAAAACAAATGAACAACAATAAACCACCCAAAACGTTCTGCTGTATTTGCTCTATTCCTCTTTGAAGCTACACACATTGGTGTGGCCAAATGCACTCCAAGTTCACAAAGGTGACAACCACAGTTCCCAGTCTTCTTTGACTTGACTTTTCTATAGCATCTAATGTCCAGCAATTTCTATTCTGAAATTCTCCCTCCACTGGGATTTTATGACATCATTGCCTCGAGATTCTTCTTTACTCAACAATATTCTCACTCAGTCTTTATTGGTCAAACCTTACATTTTAATATTTTCCCAGGATTCTATTCTTGGCTTTCCTCTTCTTAAACTAAACTCTCCCTGGGGAAGAGGGAGAGAAATAGTTATACTCTGAATTACCCCACATGCCCATAAATCACTAAGACTAAATCTGGATCCGTTTGCGCCTTCTACTTCCTCTCCCGGTGCTCACCTCAAGCAGGCACTCCCTGGCTCCCTTTATCTGGCTGGCAGGCCCAGAAAATGGTCACAGCCCATTCGTGTCAGCAGTGGTGGCTTCTTGCAGTGGTGACTGGGAGTGCAGAGGCGTGTGGCAAGGGAACACATCTCCTCTAGGATGCATCACAAAAGCTGTGGTTCCTGCAGCAGCTAAGCTTTACAAAGTGTCCTGCATGAGCTTCACAGAAGCTTGTGAAGATGTGGAGGTAAAATCTGCATCTATCTGTAAATACCGCGTAGATATGTTTCTGAGTTTCTTGTGCTTAGCATGAATGCCTAACATAATAGGAACTCAGTTCACAGTTTGTGAATGAACAAAGTAGAAGAACGGACTATCTGTAATAAATTTGAAGAAAGACTGCAGCAGCTACATATCTGGGAGAATTCACCCAATCCAGAGGGAACAGCAAAGCTTTGCACGCAGACAGAACAGTGAGACAGTGGGTGTGCAAAACAGTACACTGGAATGCTCGGCATGATTTCAGAAGGCTTTATGGCCGAACTCGGTGGGAACAGACGAGGTCTTTTTCTGTGTGTGTACTGGGAACTGAACCCAGCACCTTAGCTCTGAGCTATACTCCCCACGAGTTTTCCTATCTTTCTTCCTCCGTTTTTCTTTTTCTCTCTGCTCCTCCCGCACCTCTCTGTCCTTCTCTCCCTGTCTCCTTTTTGAATCTGCGCTTCACTAAGTCACTAAGTTTCCCAAGCTGGGCTCAAATCTGTGATCCTCCCAGAGAGCTGGAATTACAGGCATATGCTACCATGCCCAGCCCGAGTTAGGTGTGTTAAACAACGCAATCTGTACTTGGACAAAAGAAGCTGAGACAGAAGACACTTATTAAATAGCTCTCAAATTAATCATCTACATGACAAGAAATGAAGGTTTAAATTATATCAACTGCCTGAACAATAGCAACTAGAGTAAAAACAGAATGAGAAAACGTTACTTCTGAGATTATCAATAAATGATACATTTTTTAATTTGAAGAATAATTCAGTTGACTGAGGTATTCAAAGAGAATGAAAATTTTTAAAACACTAAAATTAAGAAGTCCAAAAAGAAGATACATTTTTTAAAAATATAGTGAGTCAACAGATTGTGAATGGTACTGTGAATACAATGTGGTTAATGTGTTAATACAAACTCAATGCACGTAAGTTGACACACAGTTGACATTGGACAAGGCACTGGAACATGTTCAGGAAAGGCCATTGTGAAACCTTGAATAGGGATTTAACAGAATGCAACCATACCGTGAAGCTGTTGTTGGCATTTTTTGTGCTTGCTTCAGCTACACTGGCATCTGAGAGGTCAACTTCATCAAATATCAGAGACTGTTAATGAAAAGAACACAAATACACTAGATGAATACTTGAATCTATCCACTCCAACCCATTTTTACTATCAGGTCATAATCATGAGAACTACATCAAGTATTAGAAATAAAAAATGAAGAAAAAGTTAAGTTAGTTATATTTTGCAATTTCTTTTTAGAATGGATAAGTAAACCCATAGGGCACAATTCATGAATCCAAAATTTAAAGAGATTTTAAAGAACCCTAAAGCACTGTCTGCAGGCGATGACGTGTGGCCTCTGGAAGCATGGCAGGAATCATGTATATGGAACCTGCTGACAGACAGTTCCCAGAGTAAACGAGCAAGAGTGTGCATGCATGCACGCATGTGCACACACACACGTTGTAACAACCTTGCCAAGAAAGCAGAGGCTGCATCGCTGCCCCCAGGCTGGCGAGGTGGGGACTGAAAAATAGCTCTTGCTCAGATCATGGTCAGCTACCAAATACTCTGCACCTTACTTGCCTCCCCTATAACCAGGTGTTCAAATGAGATTAAGAATGTGCTATACAAACAGAAGATAATATTCTTTTCATACTCTTAAATCTTGTTTTAAATCAAATGTGTTAGTGGTAAAAGTGCTGCAGAATGAAAAGTTAGCATTAGGAAATTCTAGTAAATGAATGTATGCCACCTCCCACTTTGAGAGTTTGTCACTGTTCACACTCATCGAGTGACCTTCCAGTAAGGCTGGCAAAACAGTGCTACTCTAGGACTGCAGAAAAGTGTCCCCTTTTTCTGATGAGAAACATATTGTACTTCCTGCCCCACACCTCCAGGTTACACCCACCAGGCACTAAGACTTGTCCCCTAACTGGATTAAATATACAATCTAGCTGGGAGGTGAAAGAAACAAAACTAAATATAACAGAAGACAGATTCTTAAAAGTGGAAGACAAACAATGCAATGAAATGCTATACAGGGTCACTGATGTTGTTTTAATAAAAATAAACTCCCCTTATGAATGACAGAATTAAGCCTATGAGGAGCCTCTAAAGAAAATGGGGCTTCCTCAAGTGGAGACACAGAGAAAGCCATTCTGAGATGAGAAACTTGGACCAAAGACAAAAGCTGTCAAACACTTAATGCTCCTATGGATAAACATGAAAGCAAGGAAACAGCCAGATCAGGGATGACCCTGGACATCTTGACCTAAAACAAGAATATTTTATTTGGTTATCATTTCTAAATTTTTTATTTTTTATTTTAGGGAAGGGTCTACAGGGTGCTCAGGGTCTCACTACTAAATCAGACTCGTAGTGATCCATCTATTCACAGCCTCCCAAGAGCTGGGATTATAGGTGTGTGCCACCACGCCCAGTTTCAATTGTCACTTTAGCACGCCACGGGGGCGGGGCCAGCACAGCAGGCCTGGGGATTGAACCCCCAGCCCCTGCGCCTGATTGCAGGTGCTTTAATCTGCTGAGCTGTTTGGCCGGCCTTGGTTATTATTTCTACATAAATACTTGGTTATTACTTCTTTTGCAGCTGCATAAACTAAGAATTAGGTTTGTTTGCTTTTATTTCCTTGTTTATGATTACTAATTATATCAGGAACATACTTTTTAAAAAACAGGTTAATTATTCAACAGGCATAGTAGCAAAAATCTTAATATTTATTTTGAAATAATACTAAAATATCAGCTTTAATGGGACTCATCATAAATTTTTCTCTCAAAAGTACAGTTATTATATTAAATTAATCTCAAGGGTTGGTTTTATTTCAATATGATGCTTACTCTCAACTGCTAGCACACTGGAGCGGCTGTGTCATGCCAGATACTACGTTGTGAGTACTGGATGTACACTGTCATGTGTAAGCTTCCTCAGCAACACTGGCTGAAATTAGGACAGCAGCCCTCATCTGGATTCTGAGCATGAGTCTTAGCAGTTCTCTCTCCATCTCCCTCTCTCTCTCTCTCCCTCTCTCTCTCTCTCTGTCTCTCTCTCTCTCTCTGTGTCACACATACCACACACATACAAACACACACACACTTTCAAGGAAAAATTAAGGTAAAAAGTAGTAGGGATCCTAAAATTTGAGTTTATTGTTATTATTATTTTTTTCCTGAACCGGGGATTGAACTCAGGCCCTTGCACTTGCCAGGGAAGCATTTATACTACTGAGCCATCTCCCTGGCCCCAAGATTATTTTTAATGTTTTACTTTAGTTGGGCAGGAAGGAAACTGCAGTATAACCTTCCTGTAAGTTTATTCTTAGAGACTTGTCATAGTTTCTAAGAATACTGACTCAAAAAAGTCCTCTAGGAGTGGGGTCCAAGTCAGAGCACAATTATATGGACTACCTACTTCACAGCATTTATGGTATAGTGACACCATGCAACCACAATTTAAAAACCATCCACAATCTCAAGCACTTAAAATGAATATTCTTTTAAATTACCTTTGAGTCTTTTGCATAATAAAGTGTTCGGCCTCGAAGTTTAAAGTATCGTTTTTTCCATCTCTGGAAAGAACTAGTTTGCTTCAGTAGCTGTCCTTCTTTAATACTGGTCTAGGGAGAGACAAAACACAATGACATGATTCAAATGACATCTGAAACCAGAATCAATGACACACTCCATTTATATTCTGAATAATATTTATGTTGTAAAAATTACAGGAGAGAATATATTGATATCACCGTAATGCAATCTAAGGAGCACATGTATGAAGCCCAGAGAACAAAAATGAACTTAACATGGTTTTCTACCTTCAAAGATGTCACAAACAGCATGAAAGACATGCACACCAGCTAACATCTGCAATTCAGGGTGAGGCGCGCACTGCCTTGTAGAGGGTAAGCACGGCATGGGCACAGCGCAGCTCGCTGATCATGAACCCAAAAGGGCTCAGCAGCCGGAAGCTTTGGACTGCCAGCAATACAGAGACAGCAGGATGATTCAGGCAAGTTAGTAAACTTCCTGTCTTACTTTAGTCATATGTAAAATAAGGTCCTTAGCAAGGCAAACTGCATAAAGCTGGATAGAAGAATAAATAACAAACATGTAAAGGACACATTGCATAGAATATAAAGTGTTCATTTAATGTTGGTTATTACAACAAATGCAGATACAAAATATCTCTACATTTCTCTTATCCTGATCTTATTACCCATCTGCATAAATTTCTTTCCATCTTCCAATCTATAACATTTACTTATTTATTATGCTTACTGTACTTCCCCTATTAGAATATAAAGGCCTTGAATTTGTTTCTAATAAAGTTAAATTTATTGTTTTGCTTTAATTGGAAGGAAAAGGGGAAGAAGGAAAGAAGCAAACCACATTGAAGCACTCCTGTGAAATTGTTCTTATGAGACAGGTCACAGACCTGCTCACTGAGACAGGGTCCAAGAGAGCTGACACTTACCACAGAATGCAATAAAGAGTAATAATGCTACCATGAACTCGTAAGTTAAAACAGCTGAGAGAATCAGCTTTACATCACCCCACTGGACTGCATACTGACATAGCTCTAGAGCCAAGAATACCGTTTAGCATACAGGATAATGAGATCCGTATGAATAAACACTGAGTGCTGAGATTAAATCCTGTTTATTTGATTCCAGAGTTTATTTGCAACTTTCACATCATGCTGTCTCTTATTATCAATAAGACATAAAATATTCAGCAGTTCGTTTTCTCTAGTAACATAATTAAGTTATATTAATGTTTACTTTCAATTTTAGTAAGAGATTTCCTCTAGAGCTTGCTCTAAGAGTATCCTCCAGGAATTGTAAGATCGTTGAAATTTAACTGTAATAAAATACTTTTTAAAACTTTAGTACCAAAGAGCTCATTTAGAATCAGACAGTCCTCAAGCCAACTCTATCACATTGAAGCACTCCTTGTATGAACTAGGCCTGTTACTCCAACTCTCTGTGCCCCAGTTTCTTCTCCAAAAAATTAGGAAGAACAACACTAACTTCACAAGCTTGTTGCAGCTAATTTCATGATAAGATAATGTCTGCAGAGCACTTAGTACACTGTCTGGGTACAGAAAGCAGTAAGTGGCAGAAAGTGTTATGATTATGATATCATTATGCTATTAAGTTTGGAGAGTATTTCCCAGGCAGGCATCAAATTATAAGAGCTTCTTGGGAAAAGTAAATAAGCCTTTGAAGGACACTGTCAAGGCAAATAACAGTTGGAGTGAATGGAGAGGATCAAGAGATGAGGTTAGGAGAGATGAGAGCCAGGATACACTCACTGGCTATGACAAGGAGTCTGCTTTTTATTCTAAGTGCAAACGTTAGTGAAATGCTTGAGGCAAGAGAGAGACACTGGGGAAATGGGCTCAAGGATGTAGAGAGACATTAGGCGGTGGCTGCAGCAGTCCAGGGACTGACAAATACTCCACTGCACTTGTAGCATCATTCATTGAGATGCAGAGAAATAGGGGCACTTGAGATGTTACTATGCAGGAGTACCTACTGGATATGCTGACAGGCATAAAGGACAAAACAAAGAAAAGACCAAGGAGAAGTTCACATTCATTTGACTCAGTTAGTCAGATATAAAATCTAGGTGAGAAAGAGGCTGATAGGGAGGGTGAACTGTTTGAGAAATGAAAACTAGAGGGAGCATGGCTCAAAACACTTGTTCTTTAATTTTTTTTAAAATTTTTTGATACCAGGTGTTTATGTCTAGTTGTTCCCCCAGAGTTGCATGCAGCCACTGGGGCAGGCTTCAAGAGTTTGTGATTAGTTCATGACCCAATGCTGGGGTTATATGTGTGAGTGCTACACTTGCCCTGGGGTGGACAGCCCGGATACAATATGAGGAAGGGAGAGGGGCTAGCTGGCTGCCACAGCTGCTGCTCTTTCCTTTGCTCTTTACTGTTTTCCACCACCATGAGCTGTGCCACTCTGCTTGGAGCCAGCGGAGTATGAACCAAGACCACCACAAACTGTGAGCTAAATAAACCTTTCCCCTTTCCTTTCCTTTCTTTTCTTTCTTTGTATATTTTAGGAAAGGGTCTACAGGGTGGTCAGGGTCTCACTACTAGATCAGACTTGTAGTGATCCGCCTATTTATAGCCTCCCAAGTGCTGGGATTATAGGTGCGCATTACTATGCCCAGTCTGAATCGTCATTTCAGTGTGCCCAGGGTACTGGGCTGGCACAGCAAGCCTGGGGATTCCCGGCCCCTGCATCTGCTTGCAGGCGCTTTAATCTGCTGAGCTATCTGGCCAACCCTAAACCTTTCTTTTCTTAATTTTTGGTGTCGGGTATTTTATCCCAGCAACAAGAAAAGTAAACGAGACACCAGGGATCAAACTCAGGACTTTGCGCTTGCCAGGCAGATACTTATGCTGCTGAGCTATATTCCCCAGTCTGTTCTTCAATTCTATGGAAGCGCAATTCAGAGTAAGCCCATAGAAACTGTAAGCCCATAGAAACTCTCAAATTGAAAAGTCCTGGAGGACAGCCCTAACATACTCAGAGCAAATTTTAATGTGACATTGGAGGTCAGCGAGGTCCACGCATCCTAACAATGCCCTTCCAGCCCACATGTCACTGCCTTTCCTCACCTGTACCAGGGAATACTGGTCCAAAGTTCCAGTTCCTAAGCTTCCAATTCTAAAAACCTAGGCCACAAGTATGTCTTATTTCATTTTATGATGCAGAAATTTCAGAATAACATCTGATGTTGCCACATGAAAGACATTTATAGCCAAATAATTAATTGTAATGCAAAAAGGTTAAAAAGAAGCATCAAAGGGTGCTATTAGCACATGTTCCTCTTCCTGCCCAAAGAATGGCTATAAACTGGAATGTTTCTCAAAGACCATGGGGTGTGTCTGAGTTAAATTATGCAATGGGACTCAAGTATTCATACAGACAAGTAAGGGGTCGGGGCACAGTTCTCACCTCACATGCCCAAGGCCCTGGGCTTTATCACTAGTGAGAAAGAAGTGGAGGGAGGATGGAGAAGGCGAGGGAGACTGATTTTCCAGTAGAAAGAGACCTGGTCACAGATCTTCAGATTACACCCCCACCAAAAGAAGGCAAAATGAATGAGAATCCATTAGATAAGGGAACATTTTATAGAACACAAAAAGATCAAGATATGGCATAGAGAATTTCATACAGTCAGGTACAAACAGTGCAGGGGAAAGATTATGAATGCAACTCAAAACTGCATGAATGCAACTCAAAACTGCAAGCCACAGAACAAGAACAAGTTAGAGAATGACAGGGCTGTGAAAAAGGGAATTTCAATCAGTAACGGGGACAAAAAGCCACATGTGGAGAAATGCTGCTGCCCAGACAACCAGGAGGGAGTCCAACAGGTAAAAGCTGGGAGGATGTTTAATGCAATGCAGACCTGTGGGAAATGAAAAAGAGAAATGCTCTGACTGCACAGGCAGGGATGACAAGAAATACCTTTAAAAATAGTTGTATATTTTAAATTTCTGCCAAGCTAAAGAACTAATTTATGAGTGAGCATGTAATCTGCAACCTCAAATTCTCTTGAAGAAATAGCTCTCAAACTTGAGGGGATATCTAAGCTACCACAAGTTTTAAAAGAATTGATTCCTGGGTGCCACTCCCATAGTCTGATTTAATCAGCCAGACGGTTCAGCCCAGGTATCTACAATTTCTAAGTGCCCCACATACTACAATGTATGTTAGAGTGGAGAATCATGGGCATAGGTTAGGGTAGGGGTCACTGGGCAACCAACCCAGTCACAGTGGGCCTTCATGTTTGGATTCAACCACCACAGATGCAGACTATTTGGGGGAAAAATGGTTCCTGTATTTGTGTATAGACTGCTTTTATCCTTATTTTCTAAACAACCTCACTATTTACATGTATGGGGTGTAAGTAACTTGGAGATAAAGTACAGAGCAAGATGCACACAGGTTAATGCAAATGCTTTGCCACTTACAAGGTCTTAAGCCATATGCTTTTTTTCTTTATTAAGGGTTTTGTGTTTGCAGTGCATGGTGTCTACATTCATTCGGGGGAACTGGTCCATGCATATAAAACACACCTTGACCATTTTCAATTACCTATCACTCATGTCCCTGATCTCTTGCCCCTTGTTCAAAATGTCTGCCTTTATTTTATTCTCTTATTTATATTTTAGGTTTCTCATATACAAGGAATCAGTCAATATTTAACTTTCTGTGTCTGAATTATTTCATTTAACATTATGATCAAGATCCATCCATTCCCTTACAAATAACATGAATTCATTCCTTATAGCTGAATAAAACTCCACTGTATGTGCAGACATATATATATGCTTTATCCATTCATTTATTGATCAGTCTCTTTTTGAGTCAAAGTGTGTCTTTCAAATTATTTGGCTACAGTGGTTAAAGTTCTTACTGGAAATTTGAACTTACCCTTAAAACATGCCTTCCTGTCATTATACTCTCTGGAAGGAAAATGCCCCCCTCCTCATCTATATGACTGAGCATGTCTTCTAGACCTGTGTTTAGAATCCACACTCTGCACAATGACCTGATAGATGGTAACAGCCTTGTGTTGAAAGTTCTCT